TGGCACTTGGCCCTCTGATTAACAGTGTGTGTGTGTGTGTGTGTGTGTGGCACTTGGCCCTCTGATTAACAGTGTGTGTGTGTGTGTGTGTGTGTGTGTGTGTGTGTGTGTGTGTGTGTCACTTTCATGCTCTTCGGTCGAGGAGAAGGACCCCGGCTTTGCTGTGGCCCTACTTTCTTCCTAGATTCTTTTGCCTAGCGTGTGTGAACACTACCGCCCCAGCTATTTGCTGGCTTTGGAACCTGAGAACCCATTGCATTCATCTGGTCTTTTCACATTCCAGATGTTTAAGTAAACGTAGGCCGTGGGGGTTGACACAGTGGCAACCTTTTTTTCCAGTGGCTTGCAGAGTTTGTGCTCCATCCTTCTCATCCATAACATGAACAGGCCCCGCAGCTCTTAGAAGGTACCTCCTGAGTAAAAATGTTCAAACGTAACATTTTACTTCTAATATATGATTTATTTGTATTGAATTCATGTTCGGGGCCAAGTGTAGAAAAATCTTAGGGTTGTCAAAGAGAGACCAGGAAGAGAATCCGTTTTGATCTGCTTTTCAAACTTCGTTTTCCCACTGCCTTTCCAAAAGGGTAGGAATTTCCAGGTTAGGTAGTTTGTAGTTTGTTTATCGTTCATATTATTAAACGCTGTTACAGCTGTGGTAATAGAAAGTATTTTGATTATTACCATTACAAGAGTTGTGTGGTGTAGTGCTTAACTGATAACTCAGTATTGTGCAGGATTGAAACTTAGGAAAAAAAAAAGTTCTCTGCCCTTTCCCCCCAAGGCAGTTTATGAGCTGTATACGAACTTTGTGAGTTTTCTGGTTGAGCCTATGTGATGGTACTTGATGCCTTGCCAGCTTGAAAGTTGCTGCTCAGGATGTTTTCAGAAAGGTTGAGAGCCCATTTCACTTCAAAAGGCCTGACAGAGCACTTTGTCAGTGTAACCCAGCATTATGACCAGGAAATAACAATTCTTGAGTTACTGCAAAACAATCAAGAAATTAGGGTTTGAGACTAGTATGTTAATCCTTCACAATCATCCTCCCAACTGTTCCCATTTCTGAGTTGACTAGATCCCTTTACTCTTACAGAATTGACCTTCCAGAGAGTGACAAAAGTCTCCAGAAATAGGTTTTTGTCAGCTGTGTTTTCTTTTTATTGTGAGGGTATATGTCTTTATTGTGGACTTTTCGAACAGTGAATGTTTATAGTCATTCTACTCAAGCATCCCTGTCTTTTGTATTAAATCATGTTTTAAATCATCCTTGTCCATTGGCTTCTGGAACAGTGGATCTAGAGCTGTGACTTGAGCATAGTTAAAGTCAGATACATCTCTTCATTTTACTGTCTCTTAAGATTACTTTGTAAGTTACCTTTTATTGGGTTGACGAGATGGTACTTGCTGCCAATGAAGCCTGATGACTTGAGTCTCTGGGACCCATGTAGTGGAAAGAAAAAACTGACTCTTGAAAGTTATAGTCTGAGCCAAGCAGTGGTGGTGCACGCCTTTAGTCTCAGTACTTGGGAGACAGAGACAGGCAGATCTCTGAGTTCACGGCCAGCCTGGTCTACAGAGCGAGTTCCAGGATGGCCAGAAATACACTGAAAAAGCCTGTCTCAAAACAACAATAACAAACAAAACAAAAAAGTGTGGGCTGGAGAGATGGCTCAGTGGCCGGAAGCATTGGCTGCTCTTCTAGAAACCTGGGTTCAATTCCTAGCTCTGTGGCAGCTCACAACTGTCTTTAACTCTAGTTTCAAGGGATTTGACACCCATACTGCCATATATGCAAGCAAAACACCAATGCATATGAAATAAAAATAATCATTTAAAAAAAAAAAAAGAAGTTGTGCTCTGACCTACAAGTGCACATTATGGTACTTGTATACCCAGACGCACACAAATAAATAAATGTAAGTGAATGTGTGTGTGTATATTTCCTTTACTGCAATGAAGGATTCACTATCAGTATGTTTTATTTTATTTTTTATTATTTTTTTTTATTTAGGAGAGAGAAAGTTGGCCTAGTGGTTAAGAACACTTAGAGCTCTTTCAAAGGACCTGGATTGGGTTCCCAGAACCCTTAGAGTGGCTCACAACCATCTGTAACTCCAGTTCTAGGGAGTCTGGCATCAGGCATGCCCATGATGCACATACGTATATGTATGCAAAACACTCAACACAATGTAAAATAAATATAAAATTTATTTAAATAACATTTGATTTCATTATCAAGCCACAGTTCAGAGCATAAAAATAATATAACAGTACCAGGCATGATGGAAAGCACCTATAATACCAGCATTTTGGGAGGTAGAAGCAGAAGAATTGGGAGTTGAGGCCAGCCTAAGCAATGTGAACCCCATCTCCAGAAAAAATAGTGGATACAACCTTGGTGTCATGGTAGGTAGTGTTTGTTTTAGTCACAGGTTGCTAGAAAGACTAGTCCTAATTCGCATTCGTTGTGTTACAAGAGTGTTCAAATCAAATCCATAAACGTTCTGTGTTTGTAGTGCTTCCCCCAGCCATGTTCTGATGAAAGAGTGCCCCAAGCCATGCCACCTTAACAATTAAATCCTAAGGAGGAGGTTAGAAGGGAAGGGGTGTTAACCTTTGGAGGCCATTAATTACACGATGGTAGATAAACAGGATGTTGATTCACGTGGAAGGATCTCAAAAGCTCTGACCTCACTGCTGAGATCAAGGGAAGGATACCTGGCAGATACTCCCTAGAGTTGAACAGGGACCTGGTGGAAGGTTCCCTTTCTGACATTTGGTGTTTATTGAGTGATTAGCTTTGCAGAATGTGATGACAAGATGGGACCTGGGTGAGGAGGCTTAAGGGAAGAAGTTCCCAAGAAACCTTTCAGGAACTTTCTGGGTTTCACAGTGATGGGAGAGCACCAAAAGCAGACTGTTGTCTGGGGTGCCAGGCCACGAGTTACTGCGGGAAAGTAAGTTTATGGAAGACACGCTCCAAAGATGTTGATTGGCAGATTGCTAGGACAGTAGAGAGTGCAAACACATTTGGGGCTTACTTGACTGTCCTCTCAGCCTCATAGCCAGGCCTCTGGGCTGTACCTGTCCCCCATGTCCCCAGAGTCCAGTGTGGGACTTCTTACACACCATACTTTATCCCTGGACCTTTGACTTATTATTTCAGGGGCCAGCTTTGAGCCCACTGCTGCATTCTTTTTCTAGACAGCCTGAGTGAATTCTCACTCTTGGGACATCCTCCCGTGGGACCATGGCTGTGTTGTGCATTTGAGCATCTGCCGTTGTGTGTCATTTTCTCTTCAGTGGTGTCCTTGGGGGCAGGCCAGGTGTGATACTTCTAAGCTGCCTATGGGAAGTGCTTTGCAAAGGCTTGATGTTTGATCCATTTTGGTTATAGTTCTGCATCTCAGGTTGTATTGAAAACAGAGTTGCTGTTTGTAGCTCAACTGGCCCATGATTTAATATGATGATGCTTCAGGAGATAAAGGGAAACAGCAAATACTGTGTTGTTGGAAGGTATCCTGAACTAGATAGTGTTCTGTCTCTGACTGAGCCAGGTCTAGAGAAAATGCCAGTTACATATGAACTTCTGCCCTTGGTAGAGGGCCACTGTCCCAGCTTGTAGACAGAGTTACAAGAGGTGGGTCTTTGGAAACAGTGTTTACTGTAGCCAGGCCCCTACAGTCCTTCTCTGTATCTGCTTTGGGTACAGTTGGTGCTGTGAGTTTTAGGGTTAGAAAGAAGGGAAGGGATATTACAGGGCTAAGGGATGGGGTGTAGGTGGGAGAATCAGTGGCTTGGCAAGAGAAGTGGGGATTACTTAGAGTATAAATGGCAGATTTTGTTCTATGTAACTAAATCAGAAAATCTAGCCAGCAGAATCCCCATGAGCACTCTGTGCACTGGGCAGAGCTGCAGCGGCCACAGGCTGAGTGGGTGTCTAAGGCACGCGTGTGTTTTACTTCTTGGCTGAGTGTATTCTTGGCCCTGATGGTGCATCCTGGTGTTGTGCCCTTGCCCCCTTTGAGGGTGCTTGTCCACACTATGTCTGGTCATAGTGTTCTCATTCAGAAGCCGCTTGGTCCTGAGCAGGCCAAGAGGACTTGTCATCTAATGAAGAGTTGGATTTTTCTGAGGAGAGCTTGTCTCAGGGTATCCTCTGAGGTGGCTGGCAGGTACAAAGCCATTCTTCTTTCTGTCCGTTGCTAGTGTAGTTTAGTTGTGCTTGTCCAGCATGGCAGGGCCTGGCTTTGGTTTTACACAGGGGTCAGGAAACTCTGGCCACCTGCCAGCTTTCCTCCATCAAATGTTCCTGGAGCCTGGAGCTTCTCATTTCTCTTCAGATGGGGTATGGATGCTTTGGCTCTGAAAGTTCAGGACTGAAGAAAAACAATAAGGCCAAGGTACTTAGCATCCAGCCTTTCTCAGAGGGTATATTTCTCCTGGTCCCAGGAGCAGAGAGAGGCTCAGGGGTGGGAGGTATCTGTTGTTTCCCAGGCCTCAATGCAGGCTTCACAGTGGTTCTTTTCCAGAGCTCTTTCTGCACTTTGCTTATTCAGTGCTTCACTCCTCTGCATACTCTGGGCTACTAGCCAGTGGGAGGGTCTATAAGGCTAAATGCCAGCAGGCTGCCCCTGTTTAGGTGCAAGCTGACTCTCACTAGGCCTTGTTTAGGGGTGGCTTGCTCTCCGCTTGCTGTGGGAAGGAGCAGAACCGCCTGGTCTGGCACTGTTTTCTTAGAAGATCCTTGATGCCTTAAGCTTAGGAGATACGGCTGTGGAGCTTTGGTGCTGCACCCGGTACTCATGGAGATGGC